ATAATAATAATAAAATCTGGTAAGGATACTCCACTGGAACAAATGTATGTTGTTTCTTTCAATGTACTAGTCCTATCTGCATTTCCAAGACTGTGTGTCTCGGTTTTTCTTTTTTATAGCATCCCTTCTAGTCTGATTCATCTACATTGATGATGAATATTTTATCTGAATTATGCCCTACTGATGAATGGCCTTTCACTCAGAAATTCTGACAATGTTTTCTTCAACACAAAGAGTGAAAAAAATTGGGCTTTCTTTTGGGGAGAAGATTTTTTCTTTCTTTTAATGTATTATTCCATTCCTGTAAATGTCAGATCATGCCAAGTATCTGACTCAATTGTTTTTGTTGTTCTAGGCTTAACTCTGTGATTACATTATTAAACATGAGATTCCTGACTCCTGACTGCCGCAGACTAACAAAATTACTACTTTCCTTTAACTAGAAGAGGCTCTTGGTACCTCACTTATATCCTCTGAGGTAAAAACAAAAGACTATTTTAGATCATAATGATACTTAAGAGCTGATGTCTTGTAGATCAAGGTGAATGCTCTTTTATTTTGAACCGTTTGTCTGAAGAATAAGTACACAGGATCTGTGTAAGGGAAGAACTGAGTAGGTTATGACATACAATATCATATCCAAAATTTACCCTTCTGGACTCTTAAAAAAAAGTACCTAAGAAATGTTTTTTGTGTGCCTTCTCTCATGGAGATTGTGATATTGAGGAAATACCTTTATCCCCATATTACAAATGTGATAAGGCTTCAGTAGGAACTTTCATGATACAAAACTCCTGAAGCCAGAGCGAACCTGGGATGTTTGCGCTCTTGGCCCCTCTGCTTTGGGTTGTGATGACTCAGCTGGTGGAGGTCCGCGCTGTGAACAAGCTTGTGGTTAAAGAAAAGGCAGATGAGAAGTGTTCTTTTTTTAGTCAGATTAGCTCTTGTTTATGGTGCAGCTGCACACAGAGTCATGTTGGCACAACAAGGCAGTGCTGCTGCCACGTGGTTTATACCGTGGAGCTGGGGCCTAACTAATGTCCTCAGGGTCTCGCAGGAAGTGTGTGGCAAAACGAGAAATTAATCACTGGTCTTCAGAGTTAGGCTACACCCCAAATCATCCTTTAGGGCTCAGCTTCAACTGGATCATTCCAAATTCAGTTGTTGAAGGTTTGTAAAGGCAGTCTTAATCCTATTTCCTTCCTTCCTTGAAAGCCAATATCTTGACCCATTGCCTAATGAGTCTCTCTCATATTTGTGAATGCCTTAAGGAACTTCTATGAGGCATTATTTTTGCTGGAATCAAGTACACATGTGGAAGTACAATATTAACAGATCTACTGAAAATTCTGTTTGATCCAGCACTGATTTTCGTTCTTGGCTGTTCTACAGGCCAGCTGAGGTCCTACGTTTTTTACTCTACATCTTGAATTGTCTTTAGTAACAACAAATATAGAGTTGTTTGGCTCTGCCAGTGGTCTCAAACCTAAAACATTGTTATTAATCAAAGACTCTTCTAAAAGACTTCTTTAAAGAACAGTATCTGCGTCGTTCCTGATGCAGCGAAGTCGGTGAGCCAGATGCACAGGTTGTGCTTTTTTGCCTGGAATCCAGCTCCAAGAGCATCTCCTTTGCTGTGGAGAAACTTGGAGAGCATCACTTTAAATAGGTGAGGGCAGCTATAAGGGAGAAGCACGGTTGAGAGCTGGCTACCTCTGTAACATCTCCATCAGCATTTGCACAGCTGAAGACCTAACGTTTATCGGGGCCCTACTATAAAGCTTTCACAGCCCATTTTGTGGTGCCATGGGCTCCATGGCACGTCCCGTATTCTCACCTGAGGAGCCCGGCGCCGCGCGGCTCCGCAGCAGGTTCCTGTCAGGAATACCGAGGGAGGCAGCACGGACACCCAGGCGGGATTCTGCCAGCTCAGCCCGATATTATTCGTTATGTGGAAGGAATTGTAACAGAGGCGATGTACTACAAAAAAAGGGAAGCAGCTTCATTTGAGTACTTATAGCTGTTTGAGGTTGCAACTGCAGTGCCACATTTCAGAGTTATGCTGAAATTTTGTAGTGATTTGTTCTAAAAGGTACGCTTTTTTGATAATGGTGATTTAATTTTTTGTATTATGTCATTTCTCCTGTTATCCTTTCCAAGAATAAAACTTTTTGTAGGTGCAAACATTGCTTCTAGGCACAAAAAGCTTTGAGTGACTTTGGTTATAAAATAAACAAAAAATATACCAATCATAACTTTACAGTGGAACTTATCTTTAAAATTGGATATATTCTCACTGTCATTTAAATTGACTGAAGTAAGAGATTATTGGGAAATACATTCCTAATCTGAAAATCTTAACTACTGTCTTCTAAAATGTTCATATTCAATGTTCTGCAATTTTTCTTTTCTAATTACATTTTTAAGTGCCTCATTTTGCTGTGTGAATAATTCACAAGTGATGACAATTTTTATTTGCTTTGCAATGCCATTAAACAGAATGATTCACTATTCCCTCATGACTTTTCAACTCTGGCAAATGCCTACTGAATCCAGAAAAACGCAAATTGGTGGATTAGTTCCTATGTATGTATGTATATAGGTAGTTCCTGTGTATGTGTCATGAGTATGCATGTTCTGAACTGTGAAACAGAAATAGATTCTAAACTAATGGATTTTTACCTGGAATCAATCTATTTCATTTCTAATTCTAGTAGAGATGAGACACTGAAGTATATTATACTGGAAATGAATTTGAAAAGAAAAATTCTTCATATTCTTCTTCTACCATTTGATCCTTATTTTATTTTTCACCTTAGCAAACCCCTACACCTTCAAGCTATTAACAAATATAGCATCTTGGAGAAAAGCAGAAAGAAAAAAGTTGTGATATTTATTTCTTTTAACCATCTGAATTATAGTGTCATGGCAGTATTTTGAAACTTGCTGAGTAGCATGTTTTGCTAAGAGCAAATGTTTAAATTATAGACCAGAATATGTTGCTTTATTATCATAACCTAATAGATGGATCAGCAAGTTATTTTTTTTAATGTGGGCATTGGAGAGAAGAGGAAATGAAATATGTAAACTTTCTGAAATCCACATTCATCAAGAATGGGGACAACTCCTTCGCTCACTTCTGGAAATGATGCTGGAATAGCAAGATGAAAATAGCATAGAAATGAGTGGTGCCAGCAGAGTAGACCTATGTTTTGTTTCATCCTTGCAAGGCTCCTAGGTAAAAAGCAGCACAGATATTTCTAGTGACTGTATTTGAAGCAAATAGTAGGGAGGTCATGGCAGTTACTTCTGTTTGCTGCCCTTTCAACCACAGGCTTAGCTAAAACCAAAAATACATATTTAGTAGAGTTGAGAGCGCAAAAAGGAAAATATAATTATTGCTCTGAAATCTTGCAATGGCAGGCATATTTTCTGAAATTGCTGTTTAGCATGTAGTGTTGCAAGAATTCTTTTCTTAAATAAATGTTCCTGCATAGGTGCTACATTTTTCCGCAATCTATTTTGCTGATCATTTTGTAAAGGTAAATAAATACATTATGGATGGAAAAAAATGCAAGCATGTTTACACACCACATTAGATTACAGACAGTGCCTGAGCAGCTCTTTGGAATTATCTACATGTATGTGCATGTGTGTATATGTACACAGGCCCGCAGCACGCGTATGTATGGATATGTCAGTGTACCCAGGGCAATATAGCGCTCGTATAGACCCAGCCACCTGCAGAAAGGCAGGAGAGGATTTATTCGTGCAGGACCGGTGTTGTGCAGAGGTGACAGGCGCCGTGCAGAGGAGTGACGGAGCGGGTGCACATCTGACCCAGCCTGGTTGGAGATTTCATGGGAAGTGTTGGATGTTTCATGGAACCACGCTCGAAAGAAGTGATACATACAAGGTTATATAGTTAGTCATGGAACCACGCTCGAAAGAAGTGATCCATACAAGATTGTGTAGTTCATGATATTTTGACCTTCCTGTCTTCTAAATCAGCAGCAGGTAGAAACTTTCTTTATCTTTCTTACATGACCCAAGCAAATTGTTGCAGTGTGATAGTACGTACGTAATGGCTGCAGCAAGGTCTCCCTGTCCAAGGAGGGTTAGCAGGGTGAAGCAGCACTTCCAGCTTAGGGCCTGAAGGTTTCTCTTCCTACCTTCATTTAATTCTCTAAAAACGTGAGTCAATTTGTTTAAAGGGTGTTTTAAAGAGGTTGTGGAGAGTGAGCGACCACAGCAGTCCCACTAGCGAGAGCGGCGCGTGGCTGTTGTCGTGCTGCTGTGTGTGTAAGAGTGTCTTGACACTTCTGCTGTGGGAGAGGGCATGAACTTTAGTGCTCAATTTGAGCATTTAAGTATTTTGAAAAAATAAAAGTAAAAGAGAAATAATTATAGTAATGCCAGATGTTGCTCTTACTGTATTAACTGTTGTTTATGTTTAACTGGAAACATAATTTGTAGCACTGTGAAACACAGCTAGTGGCTTTTTCCCCATCTATAGGTGATACAGGTTTTCATTTACACTAGGGCACATTTGCATTTTACATTGAAAGACAGGAACAAAAAGGCCATGGCAGATCCCCTAGGAAGGCAGCATGTGAAATACGTCTTTCTTCAGGTTTCTGGAGGGTGTAATTGCTTGTCATGGGCCCATATTTTCACATCTCCATTTGCTCTGTTTCCACGATGTCGTCCATCACTTAGTGAACTTCCTCAAGGAACAGGTAAAGTAACACGCTATCTTTCAGCCTAGGAATGCAAGAAGTGGGAAGACTGTCTGCTGGAAGTTTGTTTACTTTTATCGCCAAAGAATAATTAGGTACTTTTTGGCTCTCGTCATTTGTCTTCTTAGGTAAACTGCACACTGGAAACAAGCTGGCCACTTATAAACTTTCCCAGCTATGTATAACTTCATAAAGCACAACACTTCATCAAAGCAGATCCATTAAAGCTGACTGGTACTCTTCTCTTGGCTTTGATTGCAGCACCACACAGAAGCACCCAGCCCGTCCTTGCTTCCCCCGTCAGCCCTGCCATTAGATGTGTTAAACAACGCCGTGGCGGGGTTCAGTACCGTGGAAGAACTCATCCGGTACCTGGAACCGGAGCGGTGGCAGCTGGACTTGGAAGATCTGTACAGGCCGACATGGCAGCTTCTTGGAAAGGCATATATTCATGGGAGAAAATCAAGAGGTAAATTACACTGCTGATTGGCCTTGCAAGCTGCTACAGATGATTTTGGGACAAAGAAGCAGTAATCATGAGCCTTCTTGGTTCCAAGGATAGAATGTGTCAGAGATCATTGGTGTTAGATATTTTCAGTTGTGTTTTCTGAAAAAGGACAATGTCTATCCTCAAAACTCAAAAGTATTCAGCATGATAAAATAGCAAAATTACAGCAGTCAGTAAACTTGGGACCTCTTTGTTTTCAGAGAGGACGAACTGTGGGTTTCTTTTGTATGGAGGGCAACTCCTTTATGGTTTGATTAGTGCAGGTCATTCCTGACACCTACAGAATCAATTAATTAGCAAGGTTTCTTTCCTTAGCATGTTGTCAGTCTCTGCAGCCTGTGAATTGAGAGCTAAATGTTTCTCTTCCCATGCTACCACATGAAATCCTTGTGTCCATGTTTGATCATTCATTCATCAGTTTCATCAGATGTGAAACGTGCATGTACTGTAAGACTTGTTGAAATATTTCTCATTAAACAAGTCATTTTATCCCACCTATATTTGGCATTCTTGAATTTTCTACCACATATCCTCCAGATGCTGCCTGCTGTTTCATGTTTATGGCTTTCATGTGGATGGATAGCGTGCAGACTCCTTCCTTTCTCACCACATAGCATGAAAATAAAGATAGAGTTCTCAGGTGCCAAGTATAAACTAAATTATCATCTGATCAGGAAGGAAAGGGAGGAGATGAAAACTTTCATAACTCAGATATAAATTTTTGACAGCTCATGCCTGAATCATAGTCTAAAAATGAATCCTTCTACCCTACTTCTGTTGCTACAGCAATATATTATCAAGTAATCGAGTCAAAGAGGAGGAAGTTTCTTTAAAAGGTTTCAGCAATGGACCATGTCTTTCAGAGAGCCCTTTAACACTTTTCTAATTCCAGAGTTTCAGTATTTGCCAAATACATGCTATAAGCATACAATAAGTAGGGAGAAAAACAAAATGTAATATGTGGAACCTTACATAAACCAAAATGCAGGTGTTGGATAACATCTATATAGACAAAAGCAACTCCCTGCAAGACAGATCTTCCAAAGAAACTATCAGAGTAAATCTTTTAAAGACTTCTAATTAGATACTGAAATAGATTTTTCCACTGAATAAACATATCACAGCATTGCCACATTCATCTTAAAGAGACCACCCTCAGACTGCATTACTGAGTGTGTAACTTAATAGCCTGGGGCAGAAAATATGTCCAGTTGAGATGACATAGTACGAGCTGTTAGGTCTATTAAATAGTTAGGGAAAGCAAACTTTTTTATATTGTTGCTTTTAGTAGAATGGTTGCTGTATTTAAGAATGTTTGGAGAGGTCCATGCCCTAAAATGTTGTGGATTTTCTTTCTCCAAACTCTTTGACTCTATGATTAGATCAGTTTTGGTTTTGCAGTATTTCAGTGCAAAAGCTAAATTAGTGTTCTCATGTTCATGAACAAGCATCAGTTTATATCTAATTAAAAGTATATATTACTTTATGTGGAAAGGAGAAGAATATCATGCTCTAGCTAATAATTCACATGAAAAAGACTATATTTAGACAACCTGAATTCCACAGAACTTCTGTGTCTGATGTTTTCTCTGGATAAAATGCTTCCAAAAACTTCTATCCAGGAAAGAAGAAACAGCAAGTCCAGAAGCTTTGATGTCTAAATATAGCCCCAAATTCTTTTACAATATTAAATACAGCCCTAAATTATTTTACAGCTCTAAATTATTATTTTTTAATATTAAACATACTTAAAAATAAAATGTGTGTTGCAGGGCAAATAAATGATCCTAACGCTTCAAATAGGAATCTATGAATAATCATTAGCCCATATTCTGGAGTCTGTTTAAGAGCAGAGTCATAATCCAATGACAGTATTTAGTAGATACTTTTCTGGCATATAGAGGAATGGGCTTTTCTCTTTTGCACTCCTTCTTTGGAGTTTGCAGCTTCCACAGAAACCCGTTTTGAAAGAGCTCTTTGCTGTTGTATGAACCATAGGAAAAGTGCACTCCCAAGAACATCCCCAAGGAGTCTCCCCTAGGACTCAAACCGTTCTGCTGTGTCTACATACTGGTGTCTCAACCAGGGTATAGTCCTTTTCACTGTCTTTGGGAGTAGGATACATCTGGAAAAATGTTTTGGAGAAGACAGGTCACTGTTATACTGAATGCAAGTCCCAGAAAATGCTGAACAGTTACAATGCCAGTTAGAGAAATCAGTTCCTTTCAGGCTGGTGTGCACATGGAATATTTAAGATGTGTATGCTAATGAAGACACACTTTTAAAACAGACTTTACTATAGACTTACCTGCATTTTACATTTACTGTCCCTTTTTTTCCTCCTCCCCTTATTTTTATTGTAGTGTTTCTCATTCTTATGCTACTGCAGAACCTTCCATTCTTCCCGAGCTAGTGCTAAACAAAAGAACTTTGACTGTTGTGTCAAACATGATACATGAGTGGAAGCC